ACGATTGTGCCTATTAGTGACGGAGCTGTTCTGTTTGTGTCTGTCTGTATGTGCGCGCGCGCGTTTTTTTTGTACACTTTTTTGCGTATGCCTATGTGTGTATGTAAATAAGTATGTGTGGGTATGATTGCTTAATTAATATTTCTATTATAAGATAGGTGTCATATTTTATATATATATATATATATATATATTATATATATATATGTAAACGCTAATTATGTTTATATATATATCGCTATTTTATATGAATAATAATAGAATAATCTGAATTAATAAAATTTTATAAAAAAAAAAGTTGATTAAATGTTGGCTCTTAATTTTTTTAAAGACTTCGGAATTTCATTCATATTAAGGGCTGGCTGATCGGTTAATTCATAAATAGATTTGTTCATTCATTCTGCTTGATTCATTCAGTCAGTCAGTCATTTAATGATTTCATTTAAAAGAAGAATTTATTATTAATACTACTGCTATTGTTGTTTTTTACAATTACTATGATGTAAATTGTTTCCATCACAACTACTGGTGTAGTTATTTTCAAATTATTTTTTACGTTAGTAACTAAGTAGTAGTGGTAGTAGTGTAATTTATTTTGTAATTACTTAGTATGTTTTTTTCAATTCCTAGTTTGAATTCTCATTCATTCAGGAAATGTTAGTATTAAAGTTATCGTTTTGTTGAACTTTATGTTACTTCTAATTGATTTTAATGGTTATTAATATTATTATAAAAAAAAAAGTTGATGATAGTGAACAGGTATAAATGTTATAAAGAATTTTACTTTTGGATACATACACATTCATACATACATAAATACGTACATGTGTGTTTTTCTGCATGGTGTGTGTTTATGTATATTTATTGTTATGTACGTGTTCATATAGCCATACATGTGTACATACATACATCTAGGCTCCAGTTGCATAAATACGTTCATTGCACGTATGCGTAGATATGCCGTCAATTTAAGTTGACTTATCCATCATTTATGTGCATATAGGAATATGTATATTTGTTTTTACGTGTGTATATATATATTCAATTCGTTATGCCCAATCCGTTGAATTGAAATTTTCTGTCTTATACAAATTATAGAATAAAAGAGAGAGAGAGATTAGGTGAAAGAGTGGGAGATGAGGCAAAAAAGAGCTAGAGCTGCAACAAGAGTGAGAGAGAGTAGGCTTATTTTCTATCTGGTGTTTGTTTTCAGAGCTTGTTTTAGGTGATTAATTAAAATATTTGGATTGAAATGAAGATGTTATAATTACAATTACCATCTGTGCGACTGTAATATAAAATTGTTCTTATGATCCTCAAAACTGTCGTTACTATGATTGTCGGAGTCAATCCTCATCAAATTATTAGATTTACAGTACGCACCTACCTACGTGGCTTGCTTGTCAAAGAACTTCATCTCATGTTCAACGTTCGTGTGTTTCTGCAAATGTTCGGTAGTGTATTTGCATGTATTTGATTTGTATTTTCTACCCGGATGTGATGGCACCTTTGTTTAATTGTCATTTTTATGTAGTGTGTTGTTTTCATGGTAGAAGCTTGTAGAAGCTCTATGGATGAATAGACATCATTGTTTTGTTAAAAATAGCATTCTTACAATATTATTAGCTTCAAAAGATTGGAGCTTGTGTATACAATTTTTATATTTGTGTGCGTGTATATGTAGCATTCTTATTTTTATTTAATACGAGCGAGAAGTCGTGACTCGTGATGGTGAATTTGAAAGATAAATTTAAAATACAAAGAAATAGAATGTATATACAGTATAAGTTTAAATGTTGATGATATTTGAACTTGGATTCTGTTTTATATATATAATTAAATGATTGATTGAATGATTAATTGATTGGTTATTAACTGGTCAGCTAATCGACTAATTAATTAATTAATTTTTTTCATCTCAAAAGTCAATTAAACTAAACTTTAAAAGAAAAAGTCTCAAGTAATTTGTAAATTTTGGAACCTTGATTGGTTATCTAAATTTTTAACATTCGTGTATATGTATGTGATATGTGTGTGTGTATAATTCCTTTTCTTAATTTTTTTCTCTTGCGTCTCATTCACTAAATGTAACGGATCATTGAGTGATGATGTATGCGGACGTGGGTTTGGCGAGTTTTGAGTCTGGTAAATTTTTTGTAAAATGGAATTAGCGAATGAATGAAATAAATTTGATAAACAAAAAAAGAACTAATCACTGAATGAATGAAGAATTATTTAAAAAACAACAATGGGAAGAAGTACAACTGAACAGGCTTTTATTTTACCTGGCAAAATGGTGGTAAGTGTTCGCATGTATATTGTATGTATGTTTGTATGTATTGTATACATTGTATGTATAATTATTGTATGTATGTATGTCTGTTTCATGTACTGCTTGCATGTACGTTATGTGTAAGTATGTAAAATTAATATTTAACCATCAAATAAAAAGCAGTATGAAGCATTATACAACAACTTATAAAGTATAAGGCTTAAATCTTCAACAATAAAGAGGTAAACTGTGAAGTTGTAAAAAATTTCACACCAGTATGACATGCTAGACCAGTATGACATGCTAGGGGAATTAATACTGCTCTGACTTGCATCCTATACCATATCGTCCCTACACTTTCTAAATATATCCATGCAACGTACATTATTTATATATATGTATATTTATTTGTATAATGACGATAATGGGAAAAACAGAAAAATAAAACACAATTGAGATTTCTTTCAATGATGACGAATAGGATTACTAATATATCCATATATACACACACGTGTGGATATGTATGTGAATGCATGTATAAAACTTATTGATAAATGCATAGGTAATGTATAGATAATTAATGTATATAGATCTCAAGCCGATACATGCTAATTATTCAGATAGATACCATGATCACAAATGATTATCTGTTGATAATACTGGTTTGGAGTTATTTATTTATAAGCTGTATTTAATTATTAATTTAATATAAATGATGCAGATACAATTAGTATTGATCAGGTTGATTGAGATATAATGACGGTGTAAAAATATAACAAATTCATATACCGGACAATAGTAACAACGATATTCACTGGATTAATGATAAGAAGTGATAGATAATAACGAAAAATAATTAGTAAGTAAGGATATCTGCGTTCGACTGGACATACATGCTTGAAATTAAGACAAAAATATTAATAAGGCATGTGTAGAAAATGGAACGATAGTAATATAACATGCAACCAATCAATCACTTCAATGGCAATAGCGTAAAAATCCAGAAGTAAAATTGGATACTTGAAATCAGAATAACTAAAATGAGCAAACAAACAAACGAACAAAAACATTAACTTTTCTTCTTACAGACGAGCAGGTATTCAACATTTTTAACTTTTCTCATAATTTTTTTTTTTTACCAAATGACAATCCACAAGGCGTCCGTCTCACCATCAGTTATGCAACGTCGTCGTTGTTACTGACGCCGTTAGCTGCATTAAACTGTATCTGGAGGAAAATTTCGGTAATCAAGTGAAAATGTTTACAACGAGGAGACTAGTAATAGTAAAAATAGTCTTGAAAATGATAAGAATAATGACAAGCAAGCCAGAGACAACGGTTTCATCATAACGTACCCTCATTCCAGCATTAATGTTGGCGCTAGTAGTAGAGGCTGAGTGCTGCTGCTGCAACTGCGAAGGAGGAAAATGATGATGATGAGAGAGAGAATGATGAGCTGGTGAGAGAGATGGAGGAAGAGAGAGAGAAGGATGATGATGGTGAGAAGGAGAAGGAATGTGCAAAGGAGGGGGCACGGATGGTCCTTGAATGAATGGATTGCACAGGTAAGTCAACGGGTTCATCATCTGGTTAGAATTATTCATTATGATTAAATAATGATAAAGATAACGCATTAACTGCAAGTACAAATTCACACACACAGACATACATAAGAAAAGAAACATCCATACACACAGATAGAGCAGTAACAAAACAAACCTGCCCAGGATGCAGTTGTATGAAGGCAGTAGCAGGATGACTAGCCCCAGGAGCCATTGGGGAAGCAGAGGGAGCAAAAAGGGGCATGGAAAGAGGAGGCGGAGGCATAGCTGGGGGCTGCCCAACTCCCTGAATACCCAATCCTGCCGAGTTGAGACGTGGCATGCCAATGTTGATGTTTCCTCCAGGGCCTCCTGTCATGGTTCTGGATTTGTTGAAAAGAAATGAGCTGAACATGCTCCCGCCGCCGCTGTTGTTCAAGTCCATATTACTGCTGCTGTTTGTGGTTGTCGTTCAACATCATCATCGTCATCGTTATCATCAACAACGACATCATCATCATCATCACTATTAACAACGACATTATCATGACCATCTGTAGAATTAATTCTACTAACCTGTTCTTCAGTTGTAAAGTCATGTTCCTAAACGACTGGAAAATTTAGAAAAAAATATAATGCAACAAGGTGAATGAATTAATGAATGAACATATGAAAGAATGAATGAATGAATGAACATAAAAAAAAGTATAAACAATATAACCTCCTCCAACAGGCTGGCTCTATTGAAGTTACTAGCATTATTACCAATGCTATTGTTATTAATATTACTGCCATTGAAAGCATTAATGTAGAAAGTGTTATTATTATTATGATTGATGTCAGCTGGAATGCTATTATTATTATTATTGTTATCATTATTATTATTACCAATAGTATTGTTGTTGACGGCATTGAAATAAGAATTTCTACCGTTGATGATGCTGTTACAGTTTGGGATATTAATGTTATTGTTACTGCTGCTGTTGAATGTTTTGAAACGTGGATGTTCCTTGTCGGCTGGCGCTGGCTTGGCAAACATTACTTCAACGTTTTCACCGTCAATAGATGAACCTGTTCATACGTTTGTATGTGCGTGAACGTCTGTTCATACGTTTGTATGTGCGTGAACGTCTGTTCATACGTTTGTATGTGTGTGAACGTCTGTTCATACATTTGTATGTGCGGGTGCGTTTGACGTGTCTCATTCATTTCTGCGTCGGTTGATCTATATCACCGTCAGCATTATTGTCGTTGTTAAAGATTTCATCATCACAGCAAACCTCATCCACATCATCGTAATCATTTGCCACATCATCATTACGACTATAGTTGTTAATTGAATGAAATGTTAGTGAATGTAATATAACAGAGGAAAAAAACCTTAAAAACTAAACATTAGCAAGCCTGAAAAAAATATATTAATGCGTTAATTAGCACCATAAAAACAGTAGAAACATTACCATTAGCATATTATATAACAATATAACGTATTAGCAAACAAATAAATTAACAAACAAATAATTTTAATTTATTCCAAAGCTTGTTCACCCCTCTTTTGAAAGATCGACAAAATCCAAGGAATCTGTCTCTCTGTGGCCACATTATTAACATAATTTATATACACATGAATAAACAAATAATAATATATAAAAAGCCACCACTAAATGTTAATATCTAATAACATTATTTATCACTGAGAAATCTATGGGCCCATGTTAAATACAATCCAAATTACGAATAAGAAATGATAGTAATAATATTTCTAACAATGGTAATATAAATAATAATAATATTAACAATAATTAATGAATAACAAAATAATAACACCATTAACAACAGCAAGAGCCTTCTCTGCATCGTGCCGATTTTCAAAATGTATGAAGGCATAATCCTGGAAACATATGTGGGTACATTTATTTATGTCTGTGCTGTGAGAGACAAACAGAGAATTAAAAAAAATATCATTCGTTCATTTATTAACTCATTCATTCAAAACGAAAAAAAGAGAGAATTATGAGATTCTCCAGATAGAGAATTGTTAGAATTACCCTAATTTTTTTAATCTGTTTGACTGAGCCAGTCCTGCCAACTGCAACATCGAAGACATTCCTCAATGTCTCTTCAGTGGTACCAGAAAGCAAGTTACGAACGTATAAAACTTTAACCTGCAACAGTTATCATTTACTATTACCTTCATTCATTTCATTATCCAAAACTGTGTTTTCGTGCTTAGCGCATTTCAACACAATACATTCAAACACATTTGAAACTTCCACACTCAACCTGCAGACAAGTTTTATATTCATAACACTGCTGCTGCTGCTGCTGTTGTTGTTGTTAAGTTTTTTATTGTACAGAAATATACGAAATAAAATGATAATAAAAACTGAAAAATATTATAAAAAAAAACTAAAATAAACAAAGAGATGAATATAATAAGATATTAAATGATCATTACATTTAAAATTTCACCTTTGAATCTGCACTGAGTCAGCAGTTATATCAAAATAAACAGAGCAAGATTCAAAATACAATTGAACAATAAGGATATTTGAAAAAATAAAAACTTCAAAGTGTAGAACAAAACAACCAAAAGAATATAAATCAAAAACGAAACACAGATCACAAATAAAAAAACAAAAACACTGAATAAGCAAAGACAAAAATTCCATGCTTAGACCCTAAAACAACAAACCATCAACATTACATCATCTGAGACTTCTCGTTCTGGCTCAGCCCAGTCAACTGCAATGGTGCAACCAAACAACTTTATTCTACCGGGGACGAGTTTTCGACGGGCCATTGCTGCATCCCTGTGTGTGTTATACTCAACAAAGGCAAATCCACGATTTTTGGATTTGTCATAGATGTCAGTATAAACAATTACATCTTTTACTCCAACTGTTACCTGATTGGTTATATAAGTCACAAAGACAATGTTTAACACAGAAAAAAAACTAAAGTGAAGTTATAAATCACAAGAGAAAAAATTATACCAATTCAATTTCACTTAAAATTTCTGCTTTTGTCTTCTCTTTTGGAATTCCTCCAACAAAAAGTCTACAGTTGTCAACAGAAGCACAGACACCAAGCCTCTGACCAGGCCTGATCTCATAGTTATTCATCTCAACAATGGCTCTCTTTGCATCCTCCTTGTTGGTGTACGTAACGAAACAATAACCTCTATTACTGTTACTGAAATCCATCATCAACCTGAACTGGTAAATCTTGCCAATCCTCTCAAATGCAGGCACTAACTCATTTTCAAAACAATCTCTCGGTATTTTCCCCACAAACACCTCACTGCCTTTCGGGGGAGGACTTCCCACCCAGTCTGGGGGTGGTCCAAACTTTCTTTGGCCATTTACTTGGATCATCTCACAGCCAGTTGCATCTATGAGATTCAGTAGAGATCCAGTTTCGTTTTCTGGTTCTTTGGAAACGAATTAAAATATTAACTAACTTTTTAATTAAATAATTAGATATTTAAACATTTAATTAACTGATAAATTTGGACAGCACAGATAGATAGATAGATAGATAGATAGATAGATAGATAGATAGATAGATAGATAGATAGATAGATAGATAGATAGATAGATAGATAGATAAATAGATAAATAGATAGATAGATAGATGTCAAGATGCGTTTAAAAAACTGCAATAAAACGGCTGAACGTTGGTTCTAGAAAATTATTTCAAAAAAATTTAATAAAATTATATAGCTAACCAGACGTTTTCATACTAATTTTTTTCAGAAGATGCAGAAAAATTCATAAATTTGTAAGAGCCTTGACCAGAATCGTCAATTTTGAAAAAGATGGATGATTTTTCAAAGACTCTAAATGTCAGCAACAATCACAAGAACCATATACTTAGATGGTTAGAATTACTCAAATACTTCGAATAACTAGAACCATAACTTTTATTGCTACTAATGATTAGACAGTAAATGCTTTTATTTTAAAAGTCAGAACAAACTATAAAAACTGCTACAACTACATTTTAACTACTAATACTACCGCTATTGTTACTTCTACCACTACTTCTTACTACAACTACTACTAAACTTCTGCCAATACAACTACTACTATTACTTCTACTAATGACAAAATGATAATAAAAAGATCGTCAGTAAATATATATACATGGTATCGAGATGGTTAGTACACGCACATATTCTGGAATACGTCATTACTAAACGAATATTTAATAAAACTAGAAAAAGGAATAAATTAACTTTACAGTGATTTATTGATATATCCAATGAAATTTATTTAAAAACATTATGTTGAAAAATTAAGTAGGGCAAAACCGAGTTCATTTTCGCATCCACCGATAGAAAAATTTTATAAACATGTATTTATATTACATTGTCATCACCTATTTATTATATTTATATTTATCGTTATTACAAGTCGTGTCGTCGTCGTAGTAGTAGTAGTAAAAGTAGTAGTAAACTTCAACAATTTAAGCGGTACTATCGTTAACTACTGCGTCCATATTAATCTGCTTATCAAAACTACTAGTCCCAGGGGTAGCAGGAGTAATTATAGTAGTAGTAGGAGATGTAGGAGTAGAAACAACTTCTGGTAAATATAGAAACGCCGGGGCCGACCTAAGAAGCACATCCCTAGCGTCTAACCGGCCTAACTCTTTTAGAGCGACGGCCAGGTTACCGATAGTAGCGTTTACCTTGTAACTCCACAGAGCAAGTACCGCATCGGTTTTGCTTACCGGTACTACAGTTACATCTTCACTTTTGGACGCCTGTTCTTCGCGTTCCGAGACGACACTATCAGATACTTGGAGAATTTTAGCCAGAGCTTTCCAATCTTTCGAATCGTTGAGCTCGTTCGTTAGATTGGTTGTTTCCTGAGTCGAAGATTTACTGTTTCTGAATCGTCTTTTCTGTGATGGCGACGATGAAGTTTTTGAGTCCAGGAGATTGGCTAGCAGACATCTGCACGAAATAACGCATTCACCAGTTTAGTAACAAAATTATTTCGACAGATTGACAAATATTTTTCAACACAACACAATTTTCAAATTGCAGTACAAGAATTTCCATAAAATTTTACATATTTATAAGCAAGAAAAAAAACCTGGCGTATAACGGCAGCTGTGAAATATGAACATTCTTCCCGAGAATAATCTTGCTAAATAATTCTTCCGAACCCAGAGCAATCAAATCAATCAGTTTCTCAAACTCTACGGAGTCTTTCTTCTCTTTCTCACAACTACCAATATTTTTTCCCTCATTATTGCTAGCAGTAACGTTATCATTATTGGTGGCAGTAGCAGCCGAGCTACTAGCGCTAGCTACACTATTATCATTTTTATTTTCCGGTTCAGTAATATTTCTTTTAACAGTGTAACTATGGGGATTAATATGTCTAGGTTGGGTTGTTAGTTTCAGGTTATTATTCAATTCTTCGAAAGTTCTTTCAGGTTCTACGCTCATTTGAGCTTCAATAATTTCTTTCGAATCGTAAACTCTCACGAAATAAGTCGACTCGTCCGTGGGTTCTTTAGTTAAATCTTCGATAGATTCGTCCAGTTGAAATGCTTTATTTATTCCGGCAAAATCATTTTCTTTCGTCTGTTTCGCGGTGTTTGCGGTAGAAGTTGTTGGTTTTTGGAGGTCTATGGGACTCATTGGAAACCTTTGAAGATTCAAACCGGGACATATTGCCGATATCTCGCTTGATAGACTCTGACAGATGTATTCAGAGAATTGAAATATATCTTGGATGGCCGATTTTATACCTCTATGAGAGAAAGTGAAAAACAAAATTATGAAAGTTTGAAATTGTTAATCATGTTTGTTCACTCAATCAATTGAAATAATTTGTTATATAACTATACGTTCTTCGTTATATATTTCAACACCACCATCCACTCAAACATTTCAACAAATTAAAAAAAAAAACCTCGAACCTGCAGATGATATCAACGTGTTGTTGCGTAATGGAGAGGGACACGACAGTAGCGAATCCGTCGCAATCCATCCTCAACCCGGATGCCCACTGCCTCAGCTCTCTCACAAGCACGGGACATATTTCTTGATTGGTCAAGGCCCTCTTAACTGCTAGCACAATCCTTGGGAAGATGACCCCTATTTGATCACCGATGGTGTCCTCATGATCCACGCATCCTAATTGGATCCCGTGCCAGACTTCTGATAAGTTTGCCGATTCGGTAGATTGTAGAATTGTTTTTAATACGTTGTCGTCTGATGTTTGTGGTGATGGGCTTGCTTCGAAAACAATTACTGCACATTCTTTGTTGTTGTTGTTATTCTCTTTAATTTTTATTTTTCCATCTTTTTTATCTTCAATGTTCTGATAGCTTGACAGCCAGCCATACCAGACATCCTCTGGATGGGGTGTGAAATTCAGAGCTGGAAATTCGTAGAATATTCTTCCGTCTGGGTATATGGATTCTAGACAGATGTCTAGACTTTTCAAGATGTCTGGATCGTATATTAGTAATAGTGTATACATGATCAAATACTTGCGTGTAGGGTGAAATATTTTGTAATTGCCTTGCTATAATTTTCAACGTATGCATTTCTGCTAACGGCTGATTTTTTCTTATAAAATTGCACGAAAAAAATTAAAAATACTTTTAACAAATTCTCACATCAAAATTTATTCAAATTAATAAATTTTTTTTTACAAAAAACTTATCACGTAATTCGTAATTAACAGGAAACTAAAATATTTCAAACCTTTCAAATCGGAGATATCCAGATTCTGGTAGAACATTTTCAGTTGTTCGGGAGTGTAAAGACCATTAAGAGGGCAATGACACATGACCTCGTACGAAAGGGTCTCACCCAGTAACCTATTGGTGAACCATTTCGGGTTAAGAACAATCAGGTCCTCGACTGAGCCATTCGAGCTAACTAGGTACACGATCTGTATGCAGGTTTGCTTGCTACATTCATTTTATTTCATTTAAAAAATAAATTTATTTTCTATAAAAATTTTGTTACGGAACAAAACCTCAGGCGAAATTTTCAATTTTCAAAAATTTAAAAAAAAGTTTTAAAATAGCAACCTCTCCAACAACTTGTAACTGGCCGATTAGCTCCCTGATATGTTCCTCCGTGGCCAAAATATTGACCTTTTTCCGAACGTAGGTCACGAAAGTCGACCACGTGACCACCGGAAAAAGGCCCAGAGACCTCACCCAATTAGGAATTTCCTTGACTACTGGACTTAGTAATCCGATTGCGTTGCTATGGTGCTGCATATGTATGTATGTGTGTGTTTGTGTGTGTGTGTGTGTGTGTTTGTATGTGTATGTATGTGTGTGCGCATATGTATGTGTGTGTGTATGTTTGTATGTGTATGTACGTGTGTATGCTTATGTATGTGTGTGCGTATATGTGTGCATATTTTGTCTATCTAACTGAAAGTAGAAATTCTTTCAATTTTGCCAGGGTTCTTTTAAGGTCCTTCATTTCAATGCTGTTGGGCTGTATGTGAATTATTGTTTTTCTATTATTATGATTATATTTATCAATGTCATAATTGTCATTGTTGTTGTTGTTATTATTATTATTATTGACATCATTAGAACGTCATCGTATTCGTCATCATTATCACCAAGAAAACCTCTCTGGAGTCAAGGACATGCAGCTTCTTCAGAATAACGAAATCCATGCTAAACTGTTCCAACAACTCCTTACAAAACTCTTTCCATTCCGGATAAATGAATTCTCCGGATTCCAAATGTTTGGGACAGTTTGAAACGTCGGCGTGCGTGGCCACGAAGACGATGTGTGGGGCCCAGAGGTGGTGACCTCCCATGCCTAGGGTTTCGTTTTCCTTCATTCATTTTTTGTTCATTTGTTCGTCAGTTAATTCATTTGTCTGTTACTTTATACAAAATATTTCACTATCCATCTCTCTCTCTCTCTCTCTCTCTCTCTCGTTCTTTCTTTCTCTCTCTCTTTCTACATTCATAGCGATTGAAAATTGCTCAATCAAAAAAGAAATGTTAAAACCACCGACCAATCGGCTCGGCTTGCGAGATTCTGGCCTTGATGAACTCGAGCCAAAAATAGACTTGGTATTTCCAAGTTTCGACATCATCAGCTAAACTGAAAGTGACAACGTGTATGCAGCTGGGATCTCCGATGAAGAAATCGTAGTAAGAGTAGTACGGCTCATATCCAGAAAAATCCCAAATACTTAAATTCCCAATTCCTGATATTTTTTTTGGAGGAATTTGTTGTTTGTTGTTGTTGTAGTGTGTGTGTGTGTGTGTGTGTGTGTGTGTGTGTGTGTGTGTGTGTGTGTGATTCGGAGATAGTAATAGTAATGGTGACGTGTTCGTTGTTGAGGATGATAAAGATGATGATGATGATGAGGATGAGAACGATGATGACGATGAGGATGATGATGGGTTGTGTGTTTTTTTGGCGGCTCAACCTACCTACCGGGTATTGTGACCTGCTGCACGTCAACTCCCTTAGTGTACGTAGTCAATGGCGGTTCGATTCCAGATTTTAAAGATTCCGTAGGTGCTTATGATAATGATTTTAATGATGGTGACGATGATGACGACGATGATGATGGCGATGATGGTGACGATGATGATGACGATGATGACGATGATGATAGCGATGATGGTGACGATGATGATTATGATAACGAACTCGATGTTGATTTCATAACCCAGTATCCCAAAATTTGAGAATTTTACAAAAGTACTTGCAAATATGAAAACATAGGACATACATACACACAAACACACATACATACACACAAACACATACACAAACACACACAAATATGCACCTTCATATGCTTTATCTCCACCAAAGTTCCCGTAAACTCTCCTTATGATACTCCACATGTAGCTGCATTTCAAGGATTCGATTAGGGTGGTTTTTCCGACTTCTCTGCTGCCAACTACTTTCACTTTCAATCTATCCATCTGGGAATTCCCAGCTACCAGCTGTTTAGCCAGCAAGGAACGCCTATCTGTTATCAGCTGGTTTGTGTGGTTTTTTGGATGATGATGATGACGGTCATTCATTCATTCATTCGTTTATTCATTCTTTTATTAATTAATTAATTCATTCATTCATTCAGACATTAAATTCATTTTTTCTCGCACACTCCATCGATACCATCACAAAAATTTTTAAATTTTAAAAATAGACAAAATTAAACCACTACTATCATCATTACCATCCCATCATTATCATCATCACCATTCTATCACCATCATCACCATCGTCCAATCACATCATCATCACCCCAGTAAGATTCAGAATGAGATCATTAATTTCTTTATATCCATTCGTCACAGCTAAATCTTCGGCGCTGAATCCATCCTGCGATATTTTATTATAACTATTAGTACAATTACAATTATAATAATTGCTTATTATTTTATTATAGTAATAATAATAATTATTAAAATAATTATCATCGTCGTCGTCTTCATCATCAGTACTACCTTATCATATTGGTCAATATCAGCTCCAGCCAATAGGAGCACTCGTACAATATCGATGAAACCTGATTTGGCGGCTAAATGTAGGGCTGTAGATCCCGCCTACCTCGTGAATATTAATAAAGGGGCCATATGAATAAATTATATTTGAAAAATCAAAAAATTAATATTAATTAGTGCGAGTTATATGATGAAAATGAACTTTAAAAATCAGTTTATAACTCATTAAAATAATAAGAACCGCCCCCAAACAAACCTTATTGGTCAGATTGACGTTTATATTTTTAGAGCACATGAGTTGGACCACAGTGTATAATCCGTTTTTAGCCGCAACGTGTAGCGAGGTTTCCTCGTGCTAAATAAAATATGCTAAGTAATTTGAATATGCAAATTAGGTGATTGTAATATGTTAATTAGATAATTTTAATATGTTGATTAGATAGTTATCAATGTTTTTTCCTCACCTGATCTTTTATAGCCATGTTGGCTCCAAGGTAGATGAGCATTGATGCTATCGGGACGTTGGAATTTTTGCATGCTAGATGTAAAGGCGTTTCTCCGGACTGGAAAAGTTTTTAATAAATTCATTCATTCTTTCATTCATTCATTCATTACTTCATTCATTACTTCATTCATTCATTCATTCATTCGTTCATTTGTTGTTATTCATTCGTTTATTTGTTGTTATTCATTCGTTCATTCGTTCATTCATACGCTCGTTTGTTCATTTATTAATTCATTCATCTTTTCATCCGTCATTTATTCATCATTCATTCATCCATTCATTCATTCACTCCTTCATTCATCCGTACCGAATTGAAGATATTGGGATTGGCGCCAGTTAATATGAGAGATTCAACAACGGAGCCATTGGCCATCCTGACGGCCTCATGAAGAACCGTTTCCTTATTCTTGGAATTAAATTTGACGACGATGAAGAAGAAAAAAAAGATGTGGTGATGATGATGATGAAGAAGATGATGGTGGTGATGATGATGAAAAAGAAGATGATGATGGTGGTGATGATGATGATGAAGATGATGATGCTGGTGGTGTTGACGATGGAAAATGATGTAAGTTTAAAAAATTTGTCAACTTAAATGAAATAGCGTCATATAAAAATGAAATAAATACATAGATATATAATAATAGCAATAATAATAATTAGTATAGTTATAATTATTATCAATTATAATTATAATTAAATTCATAATTTCTGAACCTCATTTTGAACGTTTAAATCGGCGTGTTTTTCGAGAAGATAATTCGTAACATCAACTCGGTCCTTTCTCGTTGACAATATCAAAGGGGTGTCGCCATTCTGTTATTATTATTACTACTTCTATTATTATTTGTAATAACAATAATAATAATTATTATTATTATTAATTACTATTATTTATTATTATTGCTATTTGTAATTTTCGCATGTGAAACATTGAAACGCCCATTCATATATCATTCATTTAAAAAATAAGGCTTAAAATTAAATATATCTTCTCAACTAAATTTATGGAAGCCAATAAAAACGCATAAATTTCCATAAATTATGTTAATGATACCCTATCGACGGCATTTATAGAGACCCCCTTGTCAATCAAAATTTTTAGCATTTCTAAATTCCCAGAAGCGGCCGAGATGTGAACTGGAGTCTCGCCTACCTAAAAAATAATTATAATTATTTTATCATAATTATAATATTGATCATAATTATAATTATTTGATCATTATTACAATATTATATTATCATACTATGACCGAATTAGTCAGCGAATTAAGATCCAGCTGCTGAAGGTCAAGGGTTATCAGCTGCTTGGTGACGTCATTCTGGTTGATGGCAGCTGCCCCGCAAGCAGTGAACAGCTTGGAGACAAGAGAGTGGTTGACGTCTGGTGAATCTGAATATGTCTTTGCTGCAGCTGTTGATGATGATGATGAGGAGGGTGGAGATTTGAGAAGCTGCTGCTGCTGCTGCGTTGTGGCCGAGTTCTCTGGAGTTGACTTTTTCATGTCCATATTGTTTTCAATTTTCGCAACGTTTTTCGGATAATTTATACGCAAAATATAAGACAAATTGTTTAAAATACTCTTAAGATACAAAAAATATATACTAAAATACCAAGTCGTTATTACGAAAGTACGAAATATAATTGAATAATAGTTAGACGAGGTATTAAATAATGCCCAAAACTTTATATTAATGCAATACCTATATGACACGTCAATATATGTGAGATGTGTTAATGTACGTTCGTTTTTTTGTTTGTTTGTATGCATATGTATGCATGTATGTATGTATATGTATGTATATGTATGTATATGTATGTATGTATGTGAGAGTGCATATGCAGACCATTGTCCTTTTATTGTTCTGCTGTTTAAAATGCCTCTGAGAAGATAGCTAAAATTATTTTTGGCTCTAGATGCACATATGCATGTCTTTGTGTGTGTATGTGTGTACGTACGTATGAATATATGCGTGTGTGTATGTGCGTATATGTGTATGTATCAATACGACGGGGTATCTAATTCTTTGAATATTTTCCCATGTTAAAAGCAAGCAAGCAGGCCTAGAAATATTGAAACATACATACATACATACATACACACATACATACATACATACATACACACATACATACACACATACATACATACACACATACATACATACATACATACACACACACACACACACACACACACACACACATACACACACACACACACACACACACATACATACATACATACATACACACACAGAGGCAAAAACATAAATACTTTTGCCAAATTTAAAAACAGTTCAACTTTGACAGCATCTACACCTATTAGGCTCTGTATAAGGATTGTTATGAAACTCTGAATAATGTTTTGATGTAAATAAATATATATATATATATATTATATTATTATTATATAAATATATATATATTAATTTACATAAGTTTATATAACATAGCGCATATTTATACAGCATGTTAAAACTAGTCAGATACGGAAGTTTAATTGGTTATAATAAATAAAAAAATTAATAATAAAGACATTAACAATAATTACAACAAGTATAATAATAATCTTTATAATTATTATTATTATTATTCTAGATCCGCCTCTTAAACTAATATAAATAAATAGCTATCCAATTATCAAAATAGCTTTTATGTTATATACATTTGTTTTATATAATAATAATTATATATATTATTATATAAATATATATATATTATATATATATATCATCTATCTAAACATCTTAAAGTTGTAACGTGAACTGTTGCTATATTATAGCAGAATAGTGAAATAAAAGTTACGTTGTAATGCCTTTTAAAAATTCTGTAATCTGTAATTTCGTGAATTAAAATTGTAAAGATTGTAATGATATAGATATCATTAGATACATTTGCGGCGGAAGATACATGTATCTATAAATAAATTAACGTTAAATCTTACGTACGTACTACCCATCCTCATCTCCTTGTACGAAAAGGTATTTAGAAAAATTTTTGCAAAATGCCCATGTGCAAATGGACGATCGAACCAACCGACCTAACAGCCGTACTGAGAATTAGTGAAGATGGCGTCAACGAAGATCCCAACCACAACAATTGCAATAAACTCAAGCCCCCAGACAACTACTGCCATCTAGCCAACATAATTTGCTCAAACATCATTAGGCAGTTGGTCAGTTTAGCCGACAGCGCAGACGGTATTTTCAAGGAGTTAGCCGAACAGAGCTGTCTCGTTTCGAAACGATTCGAGAAATTGAATTTTAGAGTTGCCGAGCTGAGTGAGAAAGCTAAAAACTTGAATCCAACTGTGGAGCTAAGTGAGTTGGTTTGCCTGGCTTATGTGTTAAGTACTTGCTCTGATTCATGTGTAGTTTACGATATTTTCCACAATTGATACAGTATCTTTGGATGATGTCATGCAATGCAAGCCATTTAAAAGTGGTCTTAAACAGTACGCCTCTGGTTCCGGCGGCAGACCCGAAGCGGTTCAAACGGTATTCGATCGAATCGAGCCCATCCCTGATTTTGATAAATGGAATTGTTACAAGTAGGTTTTTGAATGAATGAATGGTGATTATTTCATTTATTAACTAATAATTGATAAACTAATTCAAAAAAACTCAAATTTTTAAAAAATTTAAAACCAGAACGGAAGAGAAAGATCCTAAAAAATTTTATTCGGATCCGAATTTCTTCTTCGAATCATGGTGCGGTCAAATAAAACAGGAAGTGGACAAACTGAAGCCGGCAAGAAAAAAGAAAGTGGTCAGTTTATTGAATGATTAGTTGCTTCATTGATTTGTGGGCTGATTAAATGAATGAATGAATGAACGATTGTTTGAAAGAATATAATTATTGCTTGACTAATTGAACGTAATTTTAAAACCAGGCAAAGAAAAAGGAAGAAATAACAAGGAAGCCACAAAATGTCAACCTCAACAAAATTCAAAACCGCGTAAAAAACGAAATTTTGGGCGGTCGACCTCTGACCGTGAATCAAAATTCCGATAACCAATCGCAGCGCTCAATCAATGTTTCAATAAACTCAGAAGCCAATCAGGTCACAGAACATGACAGAGCATCCTTAAACTCAAAGACGTCTGAAGCCAATCAAAATCCAGCATCTGATTCTATTCAGGTTGCTAGAAATGCTAGCGTGAAGGGAGTCAAAAATACGGACGATGTGATTGGCCCGCAAGGAATTGAGTTTCCGGTGTTTTACGGGGAGGATGTTAATGTTAATGAAAATGGCTAGAAAATTTGTCATTTATTCTTCAAAATTAATTATTTTAATTGCTACAATAACAAAAAATAATATAATTAAAAATGATAACAACCATACCCACAAATATTTCTCTACACAGAGCACATGGGCGACTTGCCGCCACTACCGCTACCACCACTGCCGCTGCTTTTTCCTGGAATTAATGACGTCAATAAAGATAATAATTTTGGAAATTTTAACGACGATAACGAAGACGATTTCATTGCTCCACCCCACCCACCAGCCCTCGCTACGTCACCGTCATCTTCATTTCCTCTTCCGCCAGCGGCACTAAAATCGACTACCAGTGCCACCGCCAACAGGCAGTCTTTGTATACTATCACCAACTTCAGCGATTCTATACCGCTGCCACCCGCACCTCCAAATCAACCGCTGGTTGGTTGTTTGAATGATTGATTAGTTGATTGATTGGTTGGTTGATTGGTTAACTTGTTGAGTGCTTGATTGATTGATTGAATAGTCGACTGACTAGTTGTCTCGACTGGTTAAGTGTTTGATCTATTGCCAAACTGATTGATTGTATAATTGACCGACCAATTTAATGATCGAATCAGGATTTTCCTCAGCCGCCCATACCGCCGCCACCCTTGCCGCAAACGTTTTCGCATGCAGTCGAAGCCGGGCAGTTGAGAAATAAAAACGCTACTGCTGCTACTTCAACTACGACAACGGTTGCTTGATTTGTTGTTTGACTGAATAATAAATTGAATGTATCATAGGTTGAATCATTATTTACTGGCTGGCTCTGATAATTCCTAACATTGCGATTGTCATAATTACTTTAATGCCACACGATTACCACTACCGACGCTGCTGTAGCTACTGCAACAACTACTACTACTTCTACTGATACTAATAAAACAATAAAAATAATAATAATCTCTTACAGAACATCAAAAGCCAGCCGAGTTTGGAAGGCAAGCGGGAATCTAGAGGAGACTTGCTGGCATCCATAAGGAATGGTTCGTTGGCTGACCGACTGATTAGCTAATTATAATATAATAATTGATTGATTAACCAATTATAATAAAATAATGACCGATTAATTGATTGATTGCCTAATTATAATACAATCTTATTAATAATTTCGATCATAATTATTTAGGGATAAAATTGAGAAAAGTTGACGAAGTCAAACGAGAAGTAGCCAGCAATAAAAACGCCGGTAAGAATATAAATCATGGTCATAATAATAATATAATATAATAATAATATAATTATAATTAATAATAACAGGGCAGACCATGTTTGACGTGCAGATGATAATGGAAATGCGTAGGCGAGCGTTAGAGGAGGAGGAAGAGGAGTACGACGAAGATGACGGTGATGATGATAATGATTGGGGCTAAGAATAATAATAATAATTATTATTATAACTATAATAATTATTATTAATAATTATAATAATTATTTTCATTATATTAACGCAATTTTTGTAACGACGATGATTAAGATTGATTGAACTAACAAACGGTATAAATGAGTAGATGAATGAATAGATGAATGAATGAATGAATGAATGAATGATGGAAAGACTGATTGAATGGATGAACGAATGAATGATAAGAGACATTGCTTACTTCGTATTTCTTGCTTCTTTCTTAAAATTATCAAGCCAAGCGCCGTGAATATGTTTTTTGATGAATTTTAAAATTCATTAATTTAACAAAGAATTAAAAATCGATCCATCATTCATTCATCCATTCATTCAATCAATCATTTCTAGCCACGTTTAAAAATAAAAACCATTTAATATTATTAATATCATTAGCATGACTTTGGCAGATAACAATAACAGTTATAAGAACAAGTTGGCAGCGAATCAAAAGTCAATTTATGTAAATGTAAAGGTAAAAAATCAATCAACCACTCACTCACTCAATCAATCAATCAATCAACCACCCACTAACTCAATCATTCAATCAATCATTCTACGACACATTTAACTACCAACATTACGTACGCTACAGATTCTCGAAAGCAAAAGATAAAAATAAAATGGAATACAAAACTGGTCCCATTCATTTCAAATAAAACTAATTCAAATAATAATAATAATCTAAATTCATTATTATAATCATTATTATAACTATTATTATTATTATTATTAATTACAACGTAGGTTTTTTTGGGAAATAAGCCGAAACTAAAGGCGGGTTGTGCTTATTATGTAATTTATTATTATTGTTATTATTATTGTTGTTGTTATTGACATTTTGTAAGACATTACTTGAAGGACTATTATTATTAATATTATTAATGTTATTATTGTTTCTGTTATTGTTGCTGTTGATGTTTTGCTTGCTGTCCATATTGTTTTTTGATCTTAGGTGAGAGGAGATTGGCGTTTTGTTGCTGCTGCTGTTGATGTTGTTGTTGATGACGTTGCTAATGACGTCATCGTCCAGGTGGTTCTTATTGAATACGATGGTTGGTCTCAGGTACTTCTGGTCAATGAAGTCTTCACTGGGACAACAACAATAACAATAATAATAATAATTATACAAATAATAATAATGATAATAATAATAATATGATTAATAACTGAAATGTTAATAAGTTAAATTACAGACATCAGTCAAGCTTACCAGCTTATCGGTCGATTTTTATTATTCCTATTATTATTATTGTTGTTGTTATTATTATTATTGTTGTTGTTGTTGTTGTTTTCTGGACCATCATCAAATGCGACGTTCGTCTTGATGCCGTAACACTCGACACGTGGTTTGTTGCTGTTGTTGTTTTTCACCTGAGTGAATGAATGAGTGAACGAACGAATGAATGAATGAATGAATGAGTGAGTGAATGAATGATCGAAGGAATGAATGAAACAACGATTACTGAATGAATAAATGAAAGAGTGAAGGAACGAATTAAGAAACCAACTTATCGGTTCAATCAATCATGTAACCAGCCGATCTACTAACCTCACTCAGATAGTTGGCTCCAGTGAAATTTTCACCAGCCATCGAATCAAACACCTTGTAATTAACATAAATTTGCATAAAACTGAATGGATTAACATAAATTAATATAAATTTGCATACTTTTGTACTGCTAATCGGGCAAATGTTAGCCATTTCGGTGCTATTCAAGTTGGAAATTTGAGAATCGTTGACTTGCTTGCTTAACCATGCTATAACTGATGATGATGAAGATGACGACGACGACGAAGATGACGATAATTTATTTCCTATATCATCACGTCACCAGATCACCATCACATCACAATCATCACCATCATTACCATCGCCATCGTCATCATCATCTCACCATTCTCGTTGGTGTGTAAGATTCTTTTACTTTCACTCAGTTGCAGTAGGAGCATCTCCTTCTCGTCTTCCAAGGCTGCCTTCTGAGATTTCATATCAGAGATAACTTTCTCTAAACTGAATGGATAAATGAATGAACGAATGAATGGATGAATGAATGAATAAATAAATGAATGAATGAATGAATGAACGAATTAATTAAATAGACCTTTCATTTATCTTCTTATGTTCTTCAGTCTCCTTGTTCTTCTCTTCCAGAATTTTTTCCTGCTCCATGGCTATCTGACTTCTCATTTTTACCTGCCATCATCATCGACATCATCATCATCATCAGCAGCAGCAGCAGCTGTTGCATCATCCTCTCCATCACCAACAACATCGCCGTCGTCATCATCACAAACAACAACAACAGCAACAACAAACTTTAGCAGATAACGTTTTATTATCTTCTCTCAACTTGGTGATAATCTCATTGGCCTTCTGCACCTCTCCGACTAGCTTCTTCACCGAGAGATTCAACTTCATGCTCTCCTTGCGTTTGTCGTTTAACTCTTCTTCGATCTTTTTCTGATTGGTTGGTTGGTTGATTGATTGAAATATTGGTTGGTAGATTGATAAATTGAATGACCAAGCAATCGACAAAAAGAAACATCACTCAAAATCTAACATTCAACATCTTTTCAGTTTGTAGTTGTTCATTGGCTTTGGTCACTAATTCGTCTCTATCTTTAACTTTCTGCTCAGCTAAAGCTAACTTCGTGTTTAGATCAGTTGATCGCCTTTCTAGGTCAACCAATTCAGCTGCTGAGTTAGCTGCATCACGCTGGGATGAGTTGAGTTCAGCTCGATGACGTTTCAAGTCATCCTCAAGTTTGTTTATTCTAGATTTGTAGTCATTCGACTGTGATTCAAGTTTGTTGCGACTTTCTGATAAGGACTGTGTGTGTGTGTGTGTGTGTGTGTGGGGGTGTGTGTGTTTGAGAAGGAATGTTAGTTTATTAGTTTTATTAGTTGAATGATTTGGTGTAATTTGATTTGTTGTTAACATCGTCGTCATCATCATCATCGCCATCATTGAAACAATCGTCATCACGACCGCCCGTATCATACAACCAATCCCAATCACTTGAACACTCCTCTCAAGCTCCACATTTTTATTCTCAAGTTGTTTCATGTTCTTGTTCATCAGCCTTTCAGCCTCTCTTTTTTCAGTTTCAAATCTATGTACCATGTTTGACTGATCCTTAATGAAAAAAGTTTAAATTAGTGTCTGTTATAATCTGTATCAACTAACTAATTATAACTATCGTTGTCATCATCATTAATATAATATTTATTACTACATGTACAAATGCATGTGGTTTTAAAAGTGAAACTGAAACTGTACCCTCTCAAAGTTATTTCTACATTCTTCAAGTTGGAAATCCCGATTTGTTTTCAGATTGTCATTTTCTGCCTTCAAGTTAGCCAGCTGCTCTCTACACTGCTTGAGCTGTGCCGAAGAATCAAATTCAACTTGGTCTAATTTCAATTTGGTCTGTTCATATCTGTCCTATTGTTGACATGAAAAAAAGATTATAAATAATAACGCTTAATAACCAGCTCATCTTTTTATTATTTCATTCATTCATCTCATTCATCCATCAATCCACTTGTTAACAATCAATCGAAACTTGATTACCAGCCAATCAAAGTACACCGACAGACTGCACCAGCCAATCAAATCACGCCAACGAAACCCGACAACCAGTCAAATCATCGCAACCTTCATTTTCTTCAATCCATCCAGCAAATAATTCTTAACATCAGCATCTGAGCCAGGCATGAAATTTAAAGTAAGATGATTCAGGTGTTTGAACTCGTTCATCTCCACAACAACCATGTGACCTTGAGAACATGAACCCACGCCTCCGCTGAACGACAAGGTCAGAACGAATCTGGGTTAAGTTCAAAAATAAAGAAATTCAAGTTGTAATTAGATTTCTCGCTTAAATTGAATTATAAAAAAGATATATAATTTTGTTTCAAATGTGAACAAAGATGATATAAAAAAAGGCCACCATCCAATCTTACTTATTTGGTTCTTTGGAATTTTTATCCATGCATCCTTCTAACAGGTCCATCACTTTTTGTGGAAAGGACCCAAAATCTATTAATAACCCTTGCTGGGATTTCAATCTAGAAAACATTATTTTATAGATTATTATATAACAGTAAGAATTTCTTCTATAAACTATTAAATAAGAGAGTGAGAAAAAGAAAGACAGAAACAGAGAGAAAAAGAGAAATCACAAACATTTGAAAATCTTCTTCAGCCATTCTCAGCTGATAGAGAAAAAATAAATCATTTTCGTCTGTTAGGCGCATAAATATCTCCTGTTTTTAAAAAATATTCAACTATTTAGAATAAAACAATTAAATATAAGACGATAATTATAATTATTAACAAAAACTATGATTAAAATAAATAATAATATTATTAATAATTGACTTTTCTCATGGTGTGCTGTATTTCAATGGTAAACAATAACTCCACCCTTCTGTTGTAATAAAAAATATTAATATTTTTAGTAATTATTGCAATAAATATTACAATATAAGTAGTAATTATGAATAATTATAACATAAATAATTAACAATGAGAATAATTTTAATAATTCCAAAACAAATACAACCTTCTGTCATCCTCTTGGATTATTACAATTGGTAACTTCTTGGAATACAAAACTTTTGTGGACATTTTCATTTATTTTTCATTTAGGCTCTAATTAACATAACATAAACGTCAATTTTTACACAAATTTGTTTAATAATAACCAAAATATATTTAATTATATTATATATCTGTATTTTAGAGTTATTTAGAATTTTAAATAAAATATAATTGAATGACCAATCCAACAAACAAAATTGTCAATATTACCATTAAAGTTATTATATTTTTGAAATTTATATTTAAAAATTAGCCGAAAACAAAATTAAATATTATTAAAAATTAATTATTAAATAAACAAAATGTTATTGGACTGCTGCTAATGACGCTGAAGCAAAGTTTAACAATTTTTCGTAACTTAATTTTTATATAGCTAAAATCAAAATTTTTATGTAAATTTAAAAATTATTTTCAAAAAATGAAACGAAATACAAACAAATTATTCAAGAAAATGCCGAATTTTAATAAAAAATTTGAAAACTTCATTGAAATGTTTTGAAACTTTTTCACTTATTGACTCCCTGGCTACAATTTGGTTAAAATTTAAACTAAGTTTAATAAAACCTTTTTTTAGTTATTTTTAAAATTTATATTTTAAATTTTTTTAAATTTATTTTATAAAGAATAATTTACGTTTAAATTGATTTTATTTCGATAAAAACCGTGTAAATTTTATTTAAATTTACTTTTAAATTATAAATTTACTTTTTGCACAAAATTTAAAACTAAACTTAAGTTTTAAAAACTCGGCGGTTTTAACACAAACAAAGCAAAACTTAGTAGAGTGTTGCGAAGACTCATTCCAATTTTTGTAAAATTTACAAATTTACAATTGTCTTACACTTAAAAAATGGAATTAAGTGCCGAACAAAAAAAACGAATTGAAGAAAATCGTTTGAAAGCTCTTCAGCTGAGAGCTCAGAAAAAATCCCCCAACCCCACACTGACTACAGTTAATCTTAATGTTAATCTTAATGTAAATCCGGACATAAAAAACAGCTTTAACAACATAAATAATAATAATTATAAAACGTTTCATGACACCAATTCAGTTAGTAGTAGTAGTTTTAACCATAACCAGAAAGTTATTTTTTCAAATCAACAATTAGAAGTTAAGTCTGGGGAATCTTTTTATAATAATAAAATTAAAAATAATAATAGGTTGCCTAACAACAACTATAATAACACTAAAAATGGTGGCTCAATTAATTCTAGAAGTAATAATAAAAAGTCATCTGAAGCAAAATCTGTATGTGAAAAAGTAAAACTTAAATTTGTTCTAATCTCAAAGGAAAGATTTTTAGCTGAATCACAATTCTTTGCACCATTGATTGAATTATTCAAAATGGCTTCTACTAAGCAATATGGTGGTTTCTTTTTATTTTATAGTCATTTTTTGTTACATTGTTTTTTTTTGTTAATGTTCTCTAATGATACTGCTTATATATACTACAATTAGTTATATTGTTATCATTGCTCTTTTTTCAGATACCCATACAAAGCAGTGGTCCTTTTCGCTGAGTGAATATCTGTGGCTAAGTAAGAATGTAATAATTATTATTATGTATAAAATAGTAATAATTTTTAATAATTATAATTGAAGCTCTAATGATTTGACGATGGCAATAATGCTGATATTAATTATTGATGCAAGCAGAAGACACATTCATAATTACATTAACACATAATACATATTCACATATAGAAAGAAACACACATATACATTCATACATACACACTTGTACAGAAAAAGAAATAACGACGAAAATGAAAGATGTATTAACACTTGAAGACCTACCGAATGTTGTTCTCAAAGTTTTTAGTGATAAAATAAATAAAAAATCCAACAATAACAATGATAATAGTATTAATTTTAGCAATAACTCTGCCTCAACAATTTTAAATTTGTCAGCCATCGATAGTAAGCTGACTTCAACATTACTACCATTCCAGAGAGAGGGTGTCGAGTTGGTTAATGTTAATCTAACTTTTAACGTTTATTTTGTTGTTTTTTGTCGTCATTTCGTTGCTCTACTGACATCTTTGATGTTGTTTTGTCGGAAAAACCGCAAAAATATTAACTACAATATCAATGTGGCATCAACAACAACATCAAACAAAACACAATATGATTCATCCTGAATGAATGAATGAACGAACGAGTGAATGAATGAATGAATGACAACAACATCAAATACACACCCAAGCAGATTTGCCGTGAAAAATGGCGGGAGGTTGTTGATAGCAGACGACATGGGGCTGGGAAAAACATTGCAGGCAATTTGCACTGCACGTTTTTACGGCCATGAGTGGCCTCTTCTCATCTTAACACCGTCTTCAGTTCGTTTTAGCTGGAAACAGGTTCATCATTTTTATAATTATTAACTTGTTTTAGTATAATTTTTGTAATTTAAAATAATAAATATTTGTGTTATTTCCACAACACAGCAATTGCTTAACTGGCTACCTGACACACTGACCAATGGCGATGAAGACGTCAAGGTCATCATCAGGGCCAGTGAGGATTGCTCTAAGGCCAGTGTTGTCATCGTCAGCTATGATCTACTCTCCCGCTGCCAACAGAAAATCCTGGATAGGAGATTTCAAGTCGTTATAGCGGTTGGTTTTGGTCGTCTTATTTTTTTTCACTCTTTCGTTCACATACTCATCCATTTGTCCTTTCGTTCATTTATTCGCTCATTCATTCAATCATTGACTCATTCATTTATATGCTCATTCATTCATGCGCTCCTTCATTCATTCATATAGGATGAATCTCACTGCTTGAAGAATAGCAAAGCAGTTCGAACAAAGAATGCTCTGCCAATATTAAAAGTTTGTCGCTAAATTATTATCATTATTTTCATGATTATTATAATAATAATTAATTATATAATTAATAATTATAACCATAATAAGGCGGCCAAAAGGGTGATATTGTTATCAGGGACACCGGCTCTATCTAGACCCGTCGAATTATTCTCCCAACTGTCGGCCATTGATTACAAAATTTTCACTAATTTTCACGAGTACGGCGTCCGATACTGTAACGGCAGGGAGGTTGTTTGGGGCGTGGCTAATTATTATTCATAAAGAGACTGGGGCGTGGCTAATTATTTTTACATTATTATTATTATTATTTCGTCCCAAGTTACCGTGGGGCTGGGATTTTTCTGGCTCGTCGAATTTAGAAGAGTTGAGAATCGTTATGGAAGAAAAATTCATAATTAGGTAAAGTTAAAACTTTAATTAATTATTAAATATTATCATGATCGAGTGACAACGCCATCATCGCAGGCGCCTGAAGAAAGATGTATTGAAACAGCTGCCAAGTAAACTTCGGACTCTGGTCGTCCTTGACCCGAACTCCATCAAGGTCGACAAGGTCATGAAAAGGTCACACGTCATCGTAGAACAAACTAAGGTTGTGATTGTGATAATTATATGCTAATGAAGGTGATAGTTATTATTTATTATCATTTTTACTGGTTATTAGTGCCAAGAGAGGAAAGCCTTACTTGAATACTTTCATCAAACAGCTGAAGCCAAAACGAACGCCATATGGTAAGTGACGTCATAATACAAAATAATAACAATAAAAACAATAATAATAACAACAATAATAATTATATCCCGGCAGTGATTACGTGAGTGACTTGTTGGATTCGAGTAGAAAATTCCTTCTATTCGCTCACCACCAGAGTGTACTAGACGCTGTCGAAATTTCTGTCAAAAATGTTATTATTATCGTTGATATTATTGTTATTTTTAAAATTATTCTTATTATTATCTTTATTATCGTCAAAAGAAATCTTATGAGTATGTGAGGATTGATGGCAGAACTAATGCAGAGCAGAGAAACTATTTCTGTGAAGTTAGTGGATAGGTGGATGAATGAATAAATATTTGATTGGATGAATAAGCAAACTGGTGAATGAATAAAACATCAAATGAACGAATAAAAGAATGGTTGAGCGAACGCTTGAACAAACAAGAATCGTTATTGTTAATTTTAAATTTTGAAATCCAACCAGAAATTTCAGACGAATCCCGACGTAAAGATAGCCATTTTGAGTATCATGGCAGCCAACGCAGGAATCAATTTGTCGTCTGCCAATCTCGTCGTGTTTGGGGAACTTTTTTGGAACCCTGGGGTGTCTGCTTCTATTTTTTTTAATTTGTACATTTCGTCATTTCATTGAAAAGTTATAACTAGGCAATGCATTTGACAATCCTCTTTCAGACTCATGTTTGCAGATTATCATCAGCCAATCATATCTTCATACCCTAGTTCATAACCAATCATTAATCATGTTTCTTATTTACCAAATCTCACCGACCAACCAATTTTTAGATTTTGGTTCAGGCAGAAGATAGAGCTCACCGGATTGGCCAAATTGATTCAGTAAACATCCAATACTTACTAGCTAGAAACACATCTGACGATTTCATCTGGTGAAATAATATAATTTTATTTAAAAATAATAACTATTAATAATGTTATTTATTAATTCATCATAATATTTCTAGGAATATGGTGCAAAAAAAGTTGGAACTTCTAGGCAAAGCTGGATTGTCCGGTGATGATTTTGCCGACAGTGAAACTAAATATGCCGTGGCGAGTTTATTTCCGTTTCTCTTATTACTACTAATATCGTCATATTATTATTTTTACTACTTTTTCATTCATAAGGATTCTAAGCAGAAGAATCTGGATTGCTATTTCGCGAAAGACAGCAGCAACAGCAAAAACGAAAATATTAATATCAATGACAATTATGACAATGCGTCATTTGATGTCAGTGACGATCTCTTATTGGCCGATTTATCGTCTTTTGATTTCGATAACGAAATGAATAATAACGACAACAATAATAGTGATGATAAAATTGATCGTAGCGGATTTGATGATGATGACAACGATTTGTTGTTGAACTGTGACGATGGTAATGTACTCGAACGTGGTGATACTGATGAAAAAGATGATGATGGTGATTGGGACGACGATGATGATGGTGCAAAAATAATCAAAAAACCTAAGAAAGAATAAGAAAGAATTTTTCAAAACTTCAGTCAACCAATCACATTCCTAGGTTTAAATTCACCAAATCTCATCGACCAGTCACATTTCTAGACCCAATTTTATAAAATTTCGGCAACCAATAAATTTACTCCACCAAATTCAATCAGCCAATCATATTCATAATTTCTCGTCAACATAATTTCGTATTTATTTATATATTATATATACATACATGACCTTAAAATTAAAGTTTCATTCATTTATTCGTTAATTAATTCTACTTTTCACAGAGTTTAACTTTTGTTTAATTCTTGTTCCTAAGACCCACAACGTAACAAGAGAGGGAATATAGTGATGTCTTATCTTTTCGTGATAATAATAATAATATGACGTCATTTTCTCAAAAAAAAAAACAAAATCACATAACTAGTGTTCATTCATCTCTGCATCGTCACCCGCTAAATAGATACGTAGCATCAGAAACGCGAGTACGAGTTTACACATTTTTAAACAAAATTTTTTAAACCAATGAAAACTTAAACGTGAAAACCCATAAGATTTATTCATATTATTAATCGTTTATTATTAATATTACTCTTATTGATTATTTAATAATTAATTATTTTCATTCATTCATTTGGTTTGAGGGTTGGGGGTGGTTCAAAATTTAAACAGGACACTGTGGCCCAACTCTGGAGACCACCCTGGTCGATGCTTGAAGACTGGATGCTGTAAAGTAAAAATTAAGTATAATAGAATAATTATTAATTATAATATAAATTATAATATTATTTAATTATGACCATAAAAAGTATAATGTATTATTGTATTAATAACATCCAACACGTTTATTTCAGTCCATTTAACGCGCTAACTTTAACCCATAGAGCAAGCAAATTATTCTCAAACAGCTGTTTGTTAGCATATTAATTAGTTTTAACCCCTCCTCCTAATATGTTAATTAGAATTTAGGCTCCACCCACTTCCTCAGCGAGCCTATCGTAGACGAACTGGTCATCCGGTTTCATCATTATCTCCGGGCAGTCCCATGGCTGTGGCATGGTGAAGAGGTGGTACTTGTCTATGTCGTTCTCCAAGCTGTTGATGATGATAATGTTGATATGTGTGGTGGTAGTGATAATGATCATGATGATGATATGTATGGTGGTAGTGATAATGATGATGATGATGTTGGTGATGACGATGAAACGAGAAGGAAAATCAACATAAGAAAGTTGACAAAATTACAGAAGGTTGGTTTGAAAACCGTCATCCATATCCTCATCATCAATAAAAATATCCTCATCATCATCATCAATAAGAATATAAATATCATCATCATCAATAAGAACATCATCATCGTCATCATCATCAACGTCATTACTGACAACAGCCTCATCTCCATGAGAGTATCATCATCACTTCTGTTCCAGTCTTCGAATCTCGGATCATCTTTATCCTCACCTTCCAGTTTCAACCACTGCAATTCCTCTATTATCTGGATGATGAGTGAGAGAATGAATGACAGAAAGAGTGAATGAATGAATCAATCAATCAAAGAATGAATGAATGAACATACCACATCCATGTCGACATTGTTGGCAATTTCAGTCCAATCAACTTCAACAACCTCACCATGTTTCCTTGATGCATGGATGAATAAAAACGAATGGAATGGAATGGATGAATGAATGGATGGATAGATGAATGAATGGATGGATGAATGAATGATCGACCAATTCATCAACCAATCGGTACCTGAACTCAGGGAGAAATTGATTTTTGTACGAGTCCTCTATGGCTTTCAGGTACTTTTCAGTTAGATTTCGGGCGCCAACTTCTGATGGCTGAGGAATTATAATAACTATTATTACAACACTAATTACTATTATTGTAATTTTTGGTCAAATGAAAGATCATAAATACACAAACAATTTTTCTCTTCTGAATTCTTTCTTTAATGACATCGACTGGAGCATCTAGGTAGATGGTAAGGTGTGGTTTCATCAGCTCACATATACTCTGATTCATCAGCGTTCTGTAATACTTTACAACTGGGGTTGATAATAGTTGTTTCTATAATAATCATAATTATTTCTATAATTATGAAAATGAGAGTGTAGCAGTAATTATTATATTTAAACAGTGAAACACCATCATAATCATCATCACCATTGTTATTGCACCATCGTCCTCATCATCATCATCAGGAACTCACACTCCGGAGTGCACCAGCCGACACTTCTAAGGGCATTAACGTAGACAGCGTCAGAGTAAACAGACGTAGCCATGACAACTCCCTGGCCTAATTTCAATAATAATTAAGATGGCAGTAGTTATAATAAACAGAATAATATTAATAGAGCAACCAACTCTAACTTTAAAATTCACATAGAGATGAAACATATACAGATACACCATCACCGACAATGAAAATATTAGCAATGAACAAACGGACCAGTGTTTAGCAAATGCTTAAGGGCCTCGCAGTAATAGAAAAATTTCTCCCTATACCAGTTGATCAGCAACTTTCCAACAGTTCCTTTCTCAGGATGAGGATCTTTATAGAAGTCAGCTAGATCATAGAACTTGGCTGATTCAGGTAACATGTCATTCAGGGTCCTGACATCCATCTTATAATCATTGTTAGTGAAAACGGCACGATCAGAGAGGGGGCCAAAGTACTCCATGTCAAAACCGGCAGCCAATCTTTTGGCAAAATTGGATTTGCCAACAGCAATGTTTCCTTCAACTACTATGATCTGTTTTTGGTTAATTTTTCAGTTTTTAAAAGAAAATTTAATGGTCAACAATACAAAAAACATCTTCGATGGAAGTATTACATCACATTACATTATAATATAATTTGAAACGTGATAGAGAGAGAGAGAGAGAGAGAGAGAGACAGAGAGAGAGAGAGACAGATCAACAAAATAATAAATAAAAATTTGAAATCACCTTGCTGTTTTCATTGAATCTTTTCAGGGCCTTATCATAATATGCATGAAAAGTCGTGTAGGGTTTGAGTTTGTATGGGAAGGGTTCGGCGTAGGGATATTTTTCTCCGTACGTGGCCTTCAAGGTGGCCACCTGAGTTCTATTTATTGCAGCAGACGAAATCGGAAAAAGAAAGTTTTTGCCATTTTTAAGCACCGCTGATCCGATCAGTTGTGAAGGTATCTTGGATGAAAACATTATCGCTGCAGAGTGAAATAACAAAAATTTAATTTAATCTTAAAAATCTATTTCTAAACAAATAAAAAAAAGCTCTAAATTTGAATAAAAATTTAATTTAAAATACAACAAAATGATCGACCTTATAGTTTATGTTTAACAGCGATGTACCGAAACTAATCGATTGATTACTCACGTTCGTAATACTCGATTCTTTTTTGAAAGATTTTAAAATCAGTTTTAGCTCCACTATCAAGCTTTAAGATGTTAAATGCAAACACTGAAAGAATTTGCTAATGCTGACGAAAAACAACGAAACAGCCAGCGATCAAGTTGAGGCATTCACCAACGCCCAACGTAGTTAAAAAAATTGATACTTAGGTGGAAAGCAGACAATGCGAAGTAACGATTGAAACATTAAAAACAAACAACAAAGCTTTCTTTAATAAAAATCAAACCATTGACAACAATCCATCTAAGCATTAAACATTTAACCATTAAATTTATTGAAAAAAACTATTTTATGATATTTGTTTCACTATTCATCCAACATATTAATTACTTAAATATACAAATTTAAAAAAATTTTCATTTAAATTGGCCATTTCCATTGATTATGTGGGGGTTCTTTGACAGGTCCCTCCCATGGCTTCCACTCCAACATTTTCCTAGCCAGTGTCAACTCTTTTTCTGCCTGAACAATCAGCTCTTCAGCCATTCCTCCATTGATTTTAGCCTCTAGTTTTGCAATATTTGGTTCTGAGTGCACTGCTGCTAAACGATCCTGAATTATAATCTGAAAATTTAAGTAGTTGGTTATTTTTAGTCATTAAAGTAGTAACCAAATGTGGCCACAATTGATTGATTAGGGAGATAATAATTCTTTAGTAAGCATTATAAATTAACAATTTCAATTGAAATGTTAGAATGTTCAAGCAAATAAAACAAATTACTTGTGAATTAATATCCAAAAATGATCAATCAATTATTTAAAATAACTAAAACTAACTGTTAAGTTAATCAACAACTATCCTACTGAACTGACAAACACAAACTAATCTCCAACCTGAGTTTTTTGTCTATACCCAGCAGATGCAGGCATCTTTTGCAAGACAGCCAGCAGTTTATCATACAAAATGACTAAAGATTTGTGGGGGTCCTTAGCTACAGCCAATCCTGTCAAACCTGTTGTCTTCTTCAACAAACCAGCCATGATTTTTAGTTACAAGAGCTGAACATTGTCAACAAAAATTTATGAAAATATATACATTTTACAGTTAAAAAAACTCCTAATGTTATTTACATTTTAAAACATTTGCATGTTATTTTATTATATTGATTTATGACATTTTTTACAATTTATTAAGATTAGATTAGACATTAGGTCAGGTTATTATTATTAGGTTTATCTTTATACTTTACTACAGTTTACTTTACACTTTACAGGTTTACAACACTTTTAATTTTAATATTTAATTTTAGAGTTTTAGATTTTTACAAAATTAGGAAATTAAATAAATATAAAAAACTTTAAAATTATAAATACCAAAACTCTAACAAATCTAAATTTAACTAACCTAGTTGTTAAGGAAGCAATCAATCTTTAAACAACAATTTTTTAAACTAAAAAAAATCTCGACCTTCGCTATATTATCGCCTTCAAAATAACCTAGACAAAATAGCGAAAAAAGTAGTACGTAATGTAACTAGAAAACACTAAAGACCATATATATAGAATATAGCATATCATATCATATTATTTGATATTCCATATATATGACTCAGACTAAATGGATATGCTTCAAATCAAATTATTCCATATCTATTTAAACAGGTCAGGTATTCAGCAGAACAGTGCAGTAGTAGTCAATATTATCAAAGAATAACTCATCGAAATATGAGAAACCTTTTTTCTATTAATCCACACCTGATGGAAAATATCTCACAAAGTCGCCAATCAGTTTGTTTGTATGTATGTTTGTTTGTATGTATGTTTGTTTGTATGTATGTTTGTTTGTATGTATGTTTGTTTGTATGTATGTTTGTATGTATGTTTGTTTGTTTGTATGTTTGTTTGTATGTTTGTTTGTATGTATGTTTGTTTGTATGTATGTTTGTTTGTATGTATGTTTGTTTGTATGTATGTTTGTTTGTATGTATGTTTGTTTGTATGTATGTTTGTTTGTATGTATGTTTGTTTGTATGTATGTTTGTTTGTATGTATGTTTGTTTGTATGTATGTTTGTTTGTATGTATGTTTGTTTGTATGTATGTTTGTTTGTATGTTTGTTTGTATGTATGTTTGTTTGTATGTATGTTTGTTTGTATGTATGTTTGTTTGTATGTATGTTTGTTTGTATGTATGT